GTATACAGTTAAAGAACCGCAACCTCAGAAAACCTGTTCCAGCCCTGCTTYTCTGCTTTTTGTCCTTCATGGTATCTGCCAAAGCGGAATCCAAACCCTGCCATCCTCCTGGGTAGATTGGGCGCCCCTCCCTTTGTGTACATCACAGAATTTTTTCACTCTGTTTCCTCCATGGGTACTGGAGTCTTCCTTCCACTTGGCCTTTAAGAAATGTGCCCAGGTCTTGTTTCTGCTAATGCCCAAAGCATGTTCTTTTCTCTGTTACGGTATTAATCCTTTTAAAAATTTATTCTTTACTATGGTTTTAATGAGGTCTCCGGTGTTTGAAGAAAACACGCATTTACTCAGTCTGCCATCCAGAATGAAAGCCAGCTCTCAGTTTTGCTGTGTAAGCTCGCTTTTTACTTTTTTCTGTTTCTCTTTTTGGCCCTAGGTCAGCTAGCTTCCTTTGTCATTATACCTGACACCTGCTAATTCTCTCCCTCATGCTTAGCAGAGAAAAAAGAAAAGCCATCATATGGGGTATTTCCTATTCTCACTGTGCAGGGCAAACTCACCCTCCTTATTGCCCCCTTTCCTGTCCTCCACTGACCCTCTACTTCTGCCAGCTATGCACGGGCCACTGCCCTACCCCACTGCCTGGGCCTTAGCCATAACCAGATTTCCTAAGTCTGTAAGTTCAGCTCTGATCCCCTTCCTTCAGGCTTATATATCTAATTGTCAGCTGCAGGTCCTCACTCACATCCCATGGGTTACCTCAAATTCAACATGTCCAAAGCTGACATCTTCAGTTCTCTCTGAGAAAATCAGCTCCTTCTCCCCTGTGCTGAGTAGAACCATGATCCATTCAGTCACCCAGTGGCAGGTTTGGGTGGTTGTTTTACCTCTTTGAATATTCCTAGAACTGTATTGACAGATACAGCGACAACTAGCCATGCACAACTATTTAAATTTGAACTTAATTAAATGCAATTTAAAATTCAGTTCCTTGGGTGCGGTAGCCTCCTGTGTCTGGTGGCTACAATAGCGGACAGTGCCACTGTACTTTCCTGTCGTGACAGGAAGTTCTGTCTGGAAGAGAAGAATCTCACCTTTGTACTCTACCAGGTTCCAGTGTATGGAACAGGGTAACTTCTGTGTGTCCAGCCAGGCGCTGGAGTGTGTTTGGCCATCTTTATCCCACTTCACTATCTGAGCCCTCATTGTTTCTCACCTGAACCATTAGTAATGCTCTCACCAACATTTCCCTCCTCATTCCAGTTTTTTCTTTACTCATCAAGTGATTCTTATAAAATCCATAAAGAAATACCAAGAAGAAGCAGAGTTCTGGCCTCTGACTGTCATTTCCTAACTTGAGCTCTCCAGAGTCCCCCCACCATCTTTTCCTTTTTACTTGCTTGTTGAAGGCTGCTCAGGCTTCAAGAGGGATCCCACCTTTGCTGCAGGGAAGGCAGACTCCTCATCTGCACTGCCACTCCCTTGTTGGTAGCCTTTGCAGAGCCTTGTGATGTTTTGCTCAATTCTGAGCCCCTGGAAGATAAGAACCTCACCATCTTCATACTCTACCAGAGTTCCCATGCGCTGTTCCAAGAGCAACTTCCATTCATCTGGGTGGGCGCTAGCTATGTAGTAATTTCAGGAGGAATGTGGCAGCCTGGGTCAGGTCCTGTTGTTGAGGAACCCAACTGAGAAAGACCAAGAAGGGTGATGAATGGCCTTTCCACGAGTATGAGCCCCTACCTTAGGCTTGCCTTTATTCTTGGCTGTCCTCAGATCCTGGAGTATATTTGGCCATCTTTATCCCACTCCAGTGTCTAACTCTAAGACATACATTTGATAGAGAAACAAACGTATTTTCTTTAGTAAAAAATCTTCAATGAAAGATGGGTATATGAATTAATTACCACAAACACGGTAGCTCAAATTAACAGAAAATTTCTTCTTCTGAAGTCCAGAAGCTCAAAATTCAGGTGTTAGTGGCAGAGCCATGACATCTTAGGGTGAGCCCTAAGGCTCAGGGGAGAACCCTTTCTGCCTGTCCCAGCTTCTGGTAGCTCCTAGCATTCCCTGACTTGTGGCCTGTCCCTGGCTCCGTTTTCACATGACCTTCTTCCCTGGGTCTCGGTCTCCCACTCCTTCTCTTCTAAGGACACTAGTCATTAGATAGGGCCCACCAAATAAAAAAATGAGTCCAGCTAGAGATCCTTAATTGTATCTCCAAAGACCCTGCTTTGAAATAAAGTCGCATTCACACATACTGTGGGTTAGAATTTGGACATATCTTTTTTGGAAGACAAAATGCACTCCAGTGGGTGAGAAGGAAAGCCAGTGCTCTGAGAGCTACGTGCCTGTGCCTCTCCCAGGCTTTGCTGAGCTGACTCAGCAAATTGACCTTGCCTTGGATTCTGTGTATTTATTCATGTAAGTTCATTGAGATCCCCACCCCCAAATCAAGAGGGGGAGGAGGCCATCTAACCATCCAGCAGCTGTCTTTCCAGCAGAGGCTTACCAAACTCCCTCTAGCTAAACCCCTCCACTCCACTGCCTTACAATTATCATCAAATAATAAAGCATAGCCCCAAATAAGCATGTTTATCATGCTTTAGGGTTTTCAGAACATTCCCTGGCTCCAGAGCTTTTAAAGTAAAAATGGACATTTAGATTTAGAAATTATTTTATTTGGCACACCATGCCAAGTGGCCACAAACATTGTCTCTGCACCAATAGAACGTAAGTGCCTCTCTTGTTTTAATTTTCACTGTCTACATTTTCCACAGTGAATATGATTCATATGATGTTGTGATTAGAAGAAATGTTTTTAAAACATAGTTTCAGGGGCAGGGCATGGTGGCACACTCCTGTAATCCCAGCGACTTGGGAGGTTGAGGCAGGAGGATTTCGAGTTCAAAGCCAGCCTCGACAACTTAGTAAGGCCCTAAGCAACATAGTGAGACCCTGTCTTAAAATAAAATACAAAAAGGGCTGGGATGTGGCTCAGTGATTGAGTGCCCCTGGGTTCGATCGCCAATACAAAAAAAAAAAAAAAGTTTCAATGAAATTTTTATGAATAGTGCCAGACCATTTGTATTTAAAAATAAATAAAATAAATGAGTAGGCCTCTTGGGATTCTGAGGACAGGCCACTGATGGTTTTGTGTACAATTCAGACACAATTTAGGTTTTGGAGTGATGTTAACATTGTTAATTATTCAGGACCTCACCAGACTTTCACTGCAGTGGAAATTGAAATCCACAGTCTCCACCAGGGAGGTTTCTCCTGACAGGAACATGGGCTGTCTCCCTTCCTTTGCCATCTGGCATAATGAGACATCCACACTGACGCTGTTCTTTGGTTTGTCAGAAACCCTCCCTGAACGTGCCCTGTGATCCCTCACCAGCAGTACAACTTGGCTTCGGCAGGATCCGTTTCTCTAGTGTGTGAGCTGCTTCGAGGCGGGTGCTACGTGTAGGGTGGTGACGACGGCACACGCTGCCATCAACCCACAGTCCCCGGGAGCCGGGGAGCAGTAGGCACTTTGGAGCTGTTTCACTATTGAGTGCAATTTGCTCCAGGGGAATTTCCCTATTTTGGCTTCTAATATGTTGATGAATTATTGAAATTTCAATTACTTTTGGTTCCCATGTTAGCAGGGTGGAGCCATCCCAGACATTTAGTATGAAAAGCCTGGCAGTGGCTTTTAGTGAATGGGGGCTATGTGCCTGTTCTCTGTCCTTGCCTGGAAGGGCTTTTGGCAGCAGGGCTGGCTCTGGGCTGCGAATCTGTGAGACTAACATGCCTTGTGGCTTTGGGGACCCCTTACAGTAGCAGCAGCGTCCTTGGGGAGTTCATTAGATATACAGATTCCTGGCTTCATTCAGTGCTACTAAACCTGAATCCTGGTGGGCTGGGGGATCTGGAATCTTTGTTTTAACAAGCCTTCTAGGGCATTCTGGCACATCATAAAGTTCGGAAGCTCTCCTCTGGTCTCCATTCATTCGTGTTGGCCCCTGGGTGCTGGAGTCCCTTTGCCCTTTAAGATATCATAGTAAAATGTGATCAAGGTGATCCGAATGACTGATTTCTAGCAACTCTCTCTACTTATGTGGGACCCTTCTTCCMTTGGAAATCACAGAGCTATCTCCATAGAGAAGTGGGACATGGATATTTGAATTCTGTGCAGATAAATGTATATCTTAAATGTAATACAAAGAGCCTGGTGTTTCTTTTTTATAATGAAGGGCTATTTAGATATTCCTTCCCACTGTTTCAGGGTGGTCCCATTTCAAGTCACTTGGGGGAAGCTGCTGGTGCCATCCCTGTCCCTTTATCTTACCCTAACCTCCCTCCCAGCACATAAAATCTCCAAAACCACACATCCCCCATAACTTTCAGTTCTTCAAACACCGCACATCACCCAACCCTGGGCCCCTGTGCAAGCTGGGCTATCCTCACCCTCATCCCATGATGCTACCCCCAAACCAGCCTCTTACTTGTTCATCTGTGAGACTCGCCTCAAGCCCGCTGTCTGTCCTCCTTATGCTCTCCAGGAGTTGCTTTCTCCCCTTTCCTGTTGCCTGTAACCCTCAAGGTCAGGGTTTCTAGCACTCAGGTGCTCTTGTGCAGAAATTATTTGTCTTTCCCCTCCTCTAGGCTCTCAGTTCCATGAGAGTGAAGATTTTATTCCAAGTCCTTTCTCTGCAGCGCCCAGCACAACTTTAGGCACTTGAATCTCTGCATGAATAAACATGCCCTAAAGCTGGGCACTGTTAGAAGCTTCCAGTATCGTAGATAACACAGTTGTCTCATGCTTGGAAAGAACAGATGACTGTCAGTGGCAGGTCCAGTTGAGGATACAGTGACTTAGGTGAACTTAACCGATTTAGTATTACAGTGAAGCTGATCCCTTAATGTAAAGGAAAGCCTTGCCATCGGCCCATCTGGCTCTTTTATTCTTCGGCCAGGGAAACCGCCAATCCCGTCTAAAGTAATTTTGGTTTCAGGTTCGAGAGCTTCAGACTAGACTGCAGAGCGTTCAGGCTGCAGGTCCCTCCAGTCCTGGCCGCCTCACGTCTGCCAACCGCCCAATTAACCCTAGCACCGGAGAGCTGAGCACCAGCAGCAGCAGCAATGACATTCCAATCGCCAAGGTGAGCTCCTGGGGATGGACTGATGGTGGGAACACCTCCCCTTATCTAAAAGTCCCAGCCCCCTCCTAGTGCCACTGTGAAGGCTTTCCCTAGTTCAGCTGGCCCAGGAGCTTCCCCTGGGACTATGCACAGGCCTCCCGCGCGGAGCTGCAGGGAGAGATAACCTGCTAATAGTTTTAAGTTTCTTTTGACTACAACCTGGAGGCCAGCTCTCATTAATCAGCCGCCTGGAGAATGTCACAGCTGACAAGTCATTGCAGACAGTGAGCTGTTTTGTCAAGTGCTACAATACTTCACAGTGGAGGGACAGTTACTCTCAGAGGACTAAGGTTCAGCCCAGTGGGGACTCTGAATGAGCCAATGATCTGCCCCCTCATGGACCACCAGCTTTGACAGCAAAAAAAAAAAAAAAAAAAAAAGAGAGAGAGAGAGATCACAGTCGGCAGGCATTTGGAGAAGGTGTCCCACTTGTCCTCTGCCATAGTCCCCCAGCTCCTGTGTTGCGTCTGTTACAGAAAGACTATTCAAAGGATGCTTGTCCTCTTGCCTAGTAGCCCTCCACTTTCCCTAGTAACATTGGCCCTCAAATTTAGCAAGTTGGGTGAAACAGAAGTGATTTTGTCCCCAGGGGACATTTTGGATGGTCACAGCTGGAATGCTACTGGCATCTTGTGGCTAGAGGCCAGAGATGCTGCTAAACATCCTACAATACACAGAACACATCCCCCCACCCCCAACAAAGAATTATCTAACCCAAAATATCAGTAGTGCTGAGGTGGAGAAGCCTGGGTTAAGTTGGTGGTAGAAGAATTGGACAAGGGAGTTATTTTTATGACATTATCAATTTAATTGACGTGGTTAAACCATGGTCCTGTGTAAAAGTGAGGGCGACAGTGGATCGAGGAGTGGGGTGCGCTTTTCTGATGAATGTTTTCTTCTGTAAGATTGCAGAGAGGGTGAAGCTGTCAAAGACAAGATCTGAGTCCTCGTCGTCGGATCGGCCAGTGCTGGGCTCAGAAATCAGCAGCATAGGGGTGAGTGTGGGTGAGAAGCAGGCGCCTGAGAGCCGCACAGACAACGTCTCCTGGATGGCTGAACTTCTGCAGTTCACTTCCAATAAACTGGTTTATGATAATAATAAATCATACCTGGTTTCTTTCCACGAGGTCAAATTAAAATGTATAGTGGTTTTCACGTGGTGAATTACTTCTTCAGCTTTTAAGGGAAATCCTCCCCCCCCCCCAGCTTGAAACCATTTAGAAAGAAAACATTTTGGTATAGTTCCTGGTGATGTCAATGAAAATCTTGAAGTATCTGTTTTCCATCGCCCTGTCCCCCAGAGACCAAGGGAGTCATGAAACTCAAAAGAACTGTACCTTTTGCACATCCCTCTAGAAGGGAACGTGCTCTCCAGTGAGGATGAAGCCACCTTTGAAGTGTGGCCAGTGCTAGAGCAGAGTCCCCAGTGGGAGCAGCACCCGCCGGGGTGTAAGAGCTGAGCCATGGTGACAAGGGAGTAGTTTCAGTTCCCGAAGGGGTTTCTTATAGGATTGGACATGAGGCCCGAGAGTGGGCTGTTTGATCCTCAGGGGTGGAAAAGGGCTTTTAAAAGACCCTAATTTGAATTTTTTCACTAAGCAAAATGGCAGCTTCATGGCAGAATGCTTGCTTGGTCCACACAGGCTCTGGGTTAATACTTGGCACAAACCCCACTCCCCAAATTGTATGCATTGAGACTCCATGTGAAAGCCAGGTTGTGAAAATAAAGAAGTCAACCTCTTTGGCCACAGTTAACCATCGACAGTGGCCTGGAGTGGCAGGGGGTTCAGGAAAGGGGAAGGACTCCCAGATTGTGTTTAAATTTTATCCAAAATTTCAGGGGCCCTAGGGAGACATCTTGGCCCCCCTCTTGCTGTTCAGAGGCAGATGCTTGAGGAGATGTAGCTGTATTTTGTGTTTTATGTGTTGCTTTCATATTAGTTAGCTTTTTATGATAGAATTATAATATAAAAACTAAGATACATCAAGAAATCATAGCTGTAAGTTGTTGTGCGTGCAGTGATCCTGGGGACCAGCGTCCCTGAGTGATACGCTTCAGAGGGGATTTAACACTCCTTTGTGCAGGTATCAAGCAGCGTGGCGGAACACCTGGCCCACTCACTTCAGGACTGCTCCAACATCCAAGAGATTTTCCAGACGCTGTACTCCCATGGATCTGCCATCTCTGAAAGCAAGATTAGAGAGTTTGAGGTGGAGACAGAACGGCTAAATAGGTAAAGAGCAGTCCTACATACTTGGGGGTCAAGAGCTGGTCCTCCCTTCCTTTTCCAAAGGTTCATTCCAGTTGGAGTGTGTATTGTGGCCTGGACTGAGGCTGTCAAGCCAGTGAGATGGGGGTTTCCACCATCTGGGCCACTGGAAACTTGCTTGAAGTAGTCAGGGCCACCTCATGGAATGTGACCTGTGTTCCCAGAGGACCTCATTCTTAGAAAAATTCCACACTTGCTTTACAAGTCACCATTTTAAATTCTTAATAATTTTCAAACAAGGGGCTCTGCTTTTTTATTTCATCCTGGACCTTACAAATGACAGCAAGTCCTGGGAGCAGTCCGTAGAGTGTGGCAAGTAGGTCACAGATGGCTGCCAAGCACGCAGGCCCTTGCTGCACAGAGCCACGGAGGGAAGTCCTGGAATGTTGAGTCAGCGTCCCGGGGGCGCCTGGAGCTTCCAGGAAACAGCACAGGCATTCTGGCAGAGATGTTCCAGGCTTCAGCTAAGCACCCTGCTCTAACTCTCCCTGCTATTCCCACGTGTTGACTCACTTTATTTATGCTGTTTGTCTGGGTCCCTACATCTTATCCTAACTGTCTGACTTAGAATAAATCTACCATATGCCCAGTTTCATGGATTCTTCCCAGTTCCCACGACAGAGGTAGTTTGAGTCTGCTCTTCTGCTTCTTGGTAAGGCTGGCTGCACGTCAGCCTAGTTGTGAGGGAGTCAGTAGAAATGCAAAGGAGAAGGACCAGGGCCAAGCCATGGTGACCTCTCTGTCATGGCCTTGTTCTGTCATGGCAGGATGGACTGTGTATCCACATCCAAGTGTGGTGGGACTGCCTTGACCTAGCCATCCTTAGTGGGAGAGCACAGCAAGGACTTGGAAGGCTGATGAGCTAACCATGAAGAAATGCGGATGCCGTTTCCCATCCACCATTGCTTCATTCCATTCCTCTTGTGTGTGGCAAAGCTGAATAAATTAAATATCACGTTAGTCCTTCCTGAATTGAAGCTGTTTAATATAGATCTTGAGAACTAAGGAAATGTGGCAATCTAGGTCATTTTACATCTCGAAATTAAATGGTTTCCTTATTAAATCCTAAATACTTAACAGTGACAAGCCTGATGATTACCTTGCAGCAAGTACTGCTTCTCAGTATCACTGGCCTGGGAATGCTTAAAGATTAAATCAGATGTGCCCTTTGCAATGTAATGAAGTCAGATGCCTTTTGAGGGGGCCCTCATTTTAGTGAGAATCTGCTCTCTACTGACTCTGGGATTTAATAAGCCTGTTCTGTAGCTGAACTTGGGGGGGGGGATGTACCTTTCTCCTCAATTATGTATACCCAGGAGAGGCCAAAGGATGAGGAAATATTTTAGTACTTGTAACTCACATTATTGTGTTATTTAACAACTTGGGCTCTCACAAACAACTACCTAGGCTTCAACTTGTGAGGGTAAGGTAGTCTCATTTTGCAAATCAGAAAACAAAGGCTTTGCAGTTGGAAATTGAGCGACTTGCCTTAAGCCCAGAGCTATTGAATAACTGAGGCAGAATTCCAACCCCTGCCCTTTGACCTCACCTCCACTGCCCTCTCTGTGATAGTAGTTGCAGCTGGAACCTAGAATTTCTTAGAAATAATCTACTAACATGTCCTAGTATCTTCTCTTTAACTACCTTTCTCAAAGTTGAAGCCCCATTACTCTAAAAAATGCTAGCCTTCAACTTTGTGGTTTCCCTGCGGAGAGGGGCATTCCTACTCAGATGTGTATTTCCTCATTAAACACATGTGTGTTATGTATCCACAATGTGCTGGGCTATTTGATATGCAAAGAAAGCAAAATGGACAGAGTTCTTGCTCTCATGGAGTTTGTATTCTATTAGGGGAGATGAACAAAAAGCAAGCAGATGAGATGAGAAAGCTCCTCGATGGGTATAAAGGACAGTGACAGATTTTTCTTTATTTCCCTTTTTGCTAAAGTTGCAATGCTGAAGATGGACCCCAAGGCCTCCTGCACACTAAGCAAGTGTTTTACCATTGAGCTACACCCCCGGCCCGAGAGTGGATTTTTGGTATATGTCTTGAAGAGGGGAAGGTTTACTCTGAGATTATAGGGGAAAAGAAACAGCTATATGACAAACCACAAAGATTCTTATGGGCCAGTTTAACAACCTCAAGACTGGAAAGAAATTGGCTGGAATTTCAGTCCAAAGAACAGTGGAACTGAACTAGGGTGAGAAGAAGGAGGAATTGCATGAAATAAGGTGGTCATGAAGCAAGGACGAACTTGAATGTGGATTTTGAGGGCACTGACAAATTTTATAACTTAAGCGATGTGTTACTGGAGGTTATTAGATTAAATTTTAAAATGGGAAGAACGAGACCTGATTTACATTTTGAAAGATCATTCAGAAATGAAGAATGGAAAGGGTAGAGAAGATCTGAAGTAAAGAGATGATGGCAGTGGACCAGGGTGTCCGCAGTGGGCACTGGGCTCAGGATATGTAAAATCAGTGGAGACCCCAGCTGGATTAGGTCTGGGTGTAAGAGAAAGGTTGGTCTCAAAGATGTATGGTCTTATACTTGGTCTCAAAGATCTTTCTTGGGTGTCTAGCTTGTACTGTTGGGTAGATGGTGGTAGCATTTACTGAGATGGAGAAGATGGGAGGAAAGACAAAGTTTGGGGAAAATCAAGAATTCCCTGTTGGAATATTAAATTGGAGGTGGCATGTGACCCCTAGCTGGAGATATGGCAGGTAGCTAGATATGTGGGACTGATACTCAGGAGTTTGGGCTAGAGAAGTTTGCAAACCCTAGGAACAGAAATGCTTCTTAAAGTCAAGAACTAAAAAAAAATCAACCTGAGGGTGAAAGTGTTAAGGAGACAGCCCTGAATGAACCCTAAAGGAGCACCAATAGACTGAGCCCTAAAGGAGCACCAATAGACTGAGCCCTAAAGGAGCGCCAACCTGCAGAGCTTTTCCTGGGAATAAGGAGGCTAAGAAATGGCCTCTGAGACAGGATGAAACCAGCAGAGGCGCCATGACCTCAGTGAGAAAGGCATTCTAAGAAGGAGCATTTGGGGTTTGGCCACATGGAACTCTGTGGGCTGCGTAAATGGCTTCATCTAATTAGCAGGGACTGAATGTACACTGGAGTCATAAACAAGAGAGCACAGATTATTTCAAGAAGTCTTAACGTGAACAGGGGCAGAAGAGTTTGTGCTTGTCACACCCTACCTTGAATTGACCTTGGAGTTGCCAGAGCCCAACAGCTCTTACTTATGCGCTCACCAGAAGTCTCCTCTGTGGACATGTGCCCCATATTCTGCTCTCAGATCTGTGGTTCTAAGATTTATCCTGGAAGCCAGTGGTTTCCATATCCCTAAACACTGCAAGAGTCACGTGCATTTTGTGGGTGTCTAACCCAATGTCTCCTTAAGACTTAGTGCTAAGAGCATTATGTGGCATTTTTATGGAAAATGAATCATCATACCTAGAAAATACATGTCCTAGGAAATGGAGAAACTGAAGATTCGGTGTTTTTTGTTTGTTTTCTGATATCACTACAAACTCATTTGTTCTGCATTAGAGCTCTGAATCTAAGAAAACTTCAGGCTCTCACTGCTGACCCTACCAAGAGTTAAGAGTTGCTGGACCTCCAACCTGGAAGGAGCTTTGGACACCATCCACAGTTCTGGCCTATTTCCTACTTAGGGACCCTCAAGTGCAGTTTCTTGTTCACTCACCAAGTTCATCTTTTGCTTCTGCTGTAGCATATGTGCTTGAGAGCATGGGATCTGGAACTAGACTAACTGGTTCAAATCCCAGGGCAGGGTGCTAAGCTTTCTGTGCCTTCATCTCCTCATCAAAGAAATGGGGATACAATACTTAATCCAACAGGCCCCTGGGATCAGGATTGAGCAAAGACTCAGCAAATAGTAACCATGACTGCAGTTCATTCGTCCTGTGTAGGGTGATGGTGAAGCATACCAGCTGCTCTGGTGATGTCCTTGAGGTCACACATCTGTTGCCTTCTTAAAATCTCTAGAGTCTCATACAGTACCTGGCACGTGAAGAGCACAGCAGTGTGGGTGATGTCCTTGAGGTCACACATCTGTTGCCTTCTTAAAATCTCTAGAGTCTCATACAGTACCTGGCACGTGAAGAGCACAGCAGTGTGGGCTTGCTTTTTATTCTTAATCCATACAGAATTTAGTGGTTCTTCTATGTAGAGTCATTTCCTTGATTATTCTGTGTCCATTACATTTGCTAAAACAAATCTTAACACTCATTTCTGGCCTGCATATAAATGAGACAACTAGAATGTTGACAAGTTAATTACAGTCCCAGCGTGAAAGTGATTTTTCTTTGTTTCGTAGCCGAATTGAACACCTCAAATCCCAGAATGATCTTCTGACCATAACCCTGGAGGAGTGCAAAAGCAACGCAGAGAGGATGAGCATGCTGGTGGGGAAGTACGAGTCCAACGCCACGGCGCTGAGGCTGGCCTTGCAGTACAGGTGGGGGAGCAGGAGGCGGGAAGACATGTGATATTTTTGTGGCCACCTTAATTTGGAGATGCATTCATAGTAACCTTCTGCATAAAAGTAGAAACCCAGCTTTTAGAAGGTGTAACTAACTCAGGGGTTGAACCAGCAAATATTAGCATGGTATTGAAAATCAGTTATCACCTCTGAGCAATTGAGACAGTGAGGGTAATGGATATGGTATTAGTAAGCAGGTATGTTTCTACCAGCATATGCAACCTAGGTATCACTCATTCAAGTAATGTCACTCAAAATATCAGTTTTTGCATTACATATTGACTTGTTCTTCCTGGTCTTTTCATATTCACATATATTATACATTTTTTTGCAAATTGAGTGTGCTCTATTTCCCCAGGTTGTCATAGGGTTTTTAAACTTTTTTTGTTTTATTTTATGGTACTTGGGGTAGAACCCAGGAACACTCCATCACTAAGCTCCATCCCCAGCCCTTTTTAAATTTTGAGACAAGATCTCACTTTGTTGCTGAGTATCTTGCTAAGTAACTGAGGCTAGCCTTGAACTTGTGATCCTCCTGCGTCAGCCTCTGGGGTTGTAGGCATGCGTCCCCACACCCATCCCTCCTGCAACAAGTCAGCAGAGGTTGTTCTCTACCTGCAGTCTGCCTTTGATCAAAAGGGACTTCCCTCCCATTAGCACATCCTCATAGATGAAGAGCTAGCACCTCTGTCCTGAAATATGGACTGTCCTGCATGGAGGAACTGCCAGCACCTCCAGCTAGTGTTTTGGCCCTTATTCTTACTTGTTGGTAAAGAATCATGAAAGTAAAGACAATCAAAAACAGATGGCCTCTCAACTACATGTTCACTAAAGCAACATTTACCCTATTCTGCTTGGGGAAGCTAATTAGTTATTTGCTTAAGGAGGAGATCTTGCTCCTGAGGGCCTCTTGTCTGTGTTGTGTACATGTGTGGCCTCCTGTCTGCATGTGGTCCCCTCTGTGTCTCAGGCTAAGGGACAGGGGCTGTCCTTTGACTGGTGTTCCTTCCCCTAGAAAGCCAGACTCCAACTCTATGAGAAAGCTTCTGAAAGCCTGAGAGTGTTTGTGAGGCAGTTTTACAAGTACCTAGTAGAACTTTCTGTTTCAGTGGAAAGGTATGTTCTCCCTCTGTGCTGAACGGTATGGTAACCTTGAGCCACGTGTGTCTATTGAGCATATGGAAAGTGGCTACTGCACTAAAGGGACTGAATTTATCTTTTCATTCAACTTCAAAAATGTTTAAAGAGTTGCATGTAGCTAGTGGATGTTATAAGCTGCAGGTCTGTGTCAAAATCATCTTCTCAGGGGGTTTTATATTAGTTATTGGTTGTCACATGACTGATTATCATGTCACAGTCTTGAGGGTTAGGAATCCTGGAGTGGCTTAGCTGGGTCATTCTGGGCCAGGGTCTCCACGGAGGTTCTGGGTGGGCTGTCAGCCGACACTGCATCTTCTGAAATCTTAACTGGGGCTGCAGTTTTGCTTCTGGGAAGGCTCCCGCGTGGCTATCACATGGAGGGCTCAGTTCTTCCCTGGCTCTTAGCTGGAAGCCATAGTTCCTTACGACAAGGGCCTCTCCAGAACACTGCTTGAGAGTGGTCAAGACATGGCAGCTGCCTCCTCTGGAGAGGATGATCTGAGAGAAAAAAGGAAATAAGAGAGGGGAACCAAGATGGAACCCACAGTGTTTTTAAGAACCTAATCGTAGGAGTGACATCATTTCTTCTACTTCTCTAAAGTCACATAGACCAACAGTGGTCCAATAGGGAAAGGAGCAGCACCAGGGTATGTATACCAGGATGGGGGGACCCCCTTGGAGGCTGACCTCCTCAGGTATATCACATGTCCCTCTTAGCTGATCATCAACGGGACAACCAAATTGCTTCTCTTGTATTTTTCTAGAACCGAGTTGAAAAATTAGAATAGGGCCGCAATACAGAGCAAGCCACTGACTTTGTCCAGGGAATCTGAGTGGTCTTCTCACTCATGAGGATGGTGAGGCTGAGACAGATCCTGAAAATGGAGCTGGCATTGAATGTGCTCCCCAGTCCCCACGAGAGCTGAGGACGGACGTCATGTGCTTCCATTTCAGTGAGCAGTGCATAGAAGCCTATGAACTCCTCCTGGCATTGGCTGAGAGTGAGCAGAGCCTCATCCTGGGGCAGTTCCGAGCAGCTGGCGTGGGCTCCTCCCCCGGTAAGTATCCCGAGTCCCACCGGCCCTCTTCCCTGTCTCCTCTCCCAGCCTCTTGTGCTCGTCCGCCCCCTTCTCAGCTGCTGGCATTGAGTCATCTCCCAGCAACACAAACTCGTTTGTCAAGTGTGTTTTTCGTTTTTCCTCATGACTGAGTGGGTAAATTGTTTATGTTGAATGCAGCAAGAACTGGAGTGGAAACAGAATTACAGACAAGTTAAAACAAACAAGCCCTCTTAGGAAACATATTCTCCTGAGCTGACAGTAGGACCAGATGGAGCCAGAGACCCACACTAGTGATTAAAGAGACCAACACACCGACACACCATGATGCTACTTGTGGAGGGTCCCCCTGCTGCTGTGGCCTTTGTCTTGTCTTACTGCTTTTATTGGCTGTGCTCGATCCCTAAGAATCTTTCTTCTAGTAGTTTTGGAGGGTGGGTTTCCTCTACCATTTCTCCAGGTGTCTTATGAATGCAGAGGAGTAGTTTCACACCTGCCGTCACCGGCTTTGCAGAATGTGCACTCCACCAGCCCAGTCTGAGTAGGAGTGCAGGTGTGTGCTCACCCTCTTGCTTCCCTGCCACCTCTTCTTGCCCCCACCCCAGGACTCAGGTGTCTTTTTGGCCTGATTTGTAGAAGGCGAATGTAATTAAAAACCATGCAAGTGTGGCATCCTAGGCTCAACAGAATTTGCTAGACTTGGCCCCAGATGGTGGCTCTGAGGCCTGCTCTGGTGTGAGGAGGACCACAGTGGATATAGAGAAGAGAGACCAAGGGGCAGGGCTCCCACCCCCTCTGTGCAGAACGGGGGCCTGGACATGACCTTGCTTACAGTTCTTTGGAAAGGCATTGGCAAGTCCATGAAGCCAAAGTGACCAGGTCAATCTTGAGTCATGGGTGGGTAGTAGGAGCAGGCTAGACGGCCCCAGGCCATCTTTCACAGGCTGGCTTGGAGCTGTGAGCTCAGGGGCCCACAGCTCTTCAAGGGCTGTGTCCTTCCATGAGGGCCTGTCCTTTCAGGATCCCCCTTACAAAGAAGGCCACCACCAAAGCACCTTCTAAGTGCCCCCACTGTCCTCGCCAGCTCCTTTGCCTGCCTGGGGTCTAGCTTTTGCAGTGAATACTCAACATATTTTTGCTCCTTTGGTTATAACATGCACAGGAATCTGAATCAAATCTGGAGGAAGGGAAACAATCTGGGCGTTAATTTCCTGCTTCATATCTACATTACCCCACAATGGAGCAGGCCTTCATTTGTATGAATGGCCATCCTCGACTCCTCCCCCCGAATATTTTTTCTTTCTTTCTTTCTTTTGTTAATATTACCAATCTCAGCCTAGAAGTAGAAACTCTGCCAACATTTCCATTAGAAACCTCATTTCTTAGGGTCCTTTAGTTGAGTCATAAAACTTTATTCCTCATATGAAACAGATCCTAAAATGATCTTGATCTTGGCCTGCTGTCAGTCGTGTGTGTGTGTGTGTGTGTGTGTGTGTGTGTGTGTGTGGAAAAATGATCAATTAAGGAGAAAACAAATCAACCATCTTAATTCTAGCTTGTGTCAGAGCAGTGTTTTAACCTGTTCCGTCCTTTAAAGACACCTTTTACCTACTGAGTACAGTTACATGGAGCTGAAATGGCTTCAATAAACCTGCATTTAAAAGATTTAAAATCAATCTTAAAAATGCTTTGTATTTACTGGGTGGCTCATCTATGTATTTATAAGACGCCACCTGTCATTAATCTCATGCCTACTTCAGAACCGAATTCAAATAGCAGTCAGCTGGTGAGATGTCTGTAAAGTGTCTTTGTGAAAAGAAAAAGGGCATGCAGGTTGTGGGAGGAAAGTCCAGGGAGCCGTAGATGTGGGATGCACCCCACTTCTTCACCACTCTCCGTAGCACTAAGGGTGTCTTCATATTTAGCAGCCACCCCATTAAATCTCACTCTATCCCGCTGACAACGGCACAGATCTGTCACTGTGCCCCACCAGGCCATCTAAGCAAGAGCTGGTCTGTGACATTTACCCACAGTATCAATTATTGCGATGGTGTTCTTTGTTTCTTCTTGACTTCACAAGCACTCATTACGTTCATTCTAGATGATTTAGATCAGTGGTTTTCGAACTGTGACCTAGGATGCTGGAAGGGTTTCTTTGGGCCTCAGCAGTGGCTTCAAAGGGTAAGAAGCTGAGTGTACCTCGGCCATCCATACCCACTTTACCCAGTTCCACATTTATCATTCTGTACAGTTCAGCATGCAAAATTTAATGATTTCATTTGAAAATATTTGGAAAAATGTGCTCTATAGGTAGCCAGTGATTGGCATTTTTGGCTGGCATTTCTTTTTCTTTTTAAGTCTTTATTTTTTAGGGCAGTTTTAGTTTCACAGCAAAATTGAGAGGAAGGTACAGAGAGGTCCCACCTAGCCCTTGCACCTGCACATGGAAGGCCTCTGCCATTATAGTGATAATGCTCCCACCAGAGCCATGCATTCGTCATACTTGACCCTAAGTTGACACATCATTATCATCCAAAGTCTGGAATTTACATTAGGGTTCACTCTTGGGGTTATACCTTCTATGGGTCTGGACAAATGTGTAATGCAATGTGTCTACCATTGTAATACTGGAAAGAGTAGTTTCACTGTGCTCTACCTATTCCTTCCTCCCTCTCCACTTTCATCCTCCCAACCCTTGGCAACTACTGATCTTTTTTTTCATACATTTTTATTTGTAGATGGGCACAATACCTTTAATTTATTTTTTATATGGTGCTGAGGATCCAACCCAGCACCTCATACATGCGAGGCAAGTGCTCTACCACTGAGCCCCAACCCCAGCCCCAACCACTGATCTTTTTAATGTCTCTTGTTTTAACTATGTTTAAAACAAGAAAAATGTGAACATCCTAGGTTGGGACATCACTGCCTGACTCTGTGCTGGTGCCCACCAGRCTCCATTTCCTGCTCCAGCCTCGACTCCTGGCTCCTGGAGGCATTTGAGTGGGCCGCTTGTTACCAAGCAGCGAAGGTCAGGGATAGCATGAGCACGGAAAATCTGAAGTTCTCATTTGAACCGTTAGCTTGGTCTCTTTTGCCCTATATCAATCATTTTTTTAATATATATTATTTTAGTTGTAGATGGACATAATACCTTCATTTTATTTATTTATGTGGTGCTGAGGATTGAACCCAGTGCCTCACACGTGCCAGGCAAGTGCTTTGCCACTGAGCCCCAGCCCCAGCCCCCCCCAACCACATCAATCCCTTTTTTTTTTAAATACCTTTATTTTATTTGTTTTTATTTTTATGTGGTGCTGAGATTTGAACCCAATGCCTCACACATTCTCGGCGAGCGCTCTACTGCTGAGCCACAACCTCAGCCCTACGTCAGTCTCTTAACTGAAGTTGTTGACACAGAGAGATGGCAGTTTTGCCTCCGTTTCTCCCTGCTGTCATTCACAAAGATCCCATGCACAGTGGCCTTGTGCCTGAGTGGGAGGAGAAGCCAGGAGCCTGGATGAACAGAGCACATGAGAGCTGGAAACTGACCTTGGAGATCACATTCGTCCCTGAGGATAGTGGAGCCCAGAGCAGAGAAATGCCTTCCCAAACATGGGGTCAGAGCCAGGCCCAGAGCACAAGTCTCCTCACTGAAGGGCCACTGCCAGTTGCTCCCCAGTGTGCCACCTCTGCTGAGTCACTGAGACATGTTTATGCAGGCTTGTTCCCTCTTTCAGGCCCACCTTGATTAATCCATTGGCTTTTCTGTGATGTAGGCGACCAGTCAGGGGATGAAAACATCACTCAGATGCTCAAACGAGCCCACGACTGCAGGAAGACAGCCGAGAACGCCGCCAAGGCCCTGCTCATGAAGCTGGACGGCAGCTGCGGGGGAGCCTTCGCTGTGGCCGGCTGCAGCGTGCAGCCCTGGGAGAGCCTGTCATCCAACAGCCACACCAGGTACTGGGTGGCCTCCCTGTCCCCGGAGGGACCTCTTTTTTCCTCACTGGGCTTGACACATAGTTGGCTTGAGTCAGGCAGAATTCCTTTCAGGCTGTGACCAGCTCCATCCAAGGAGTCCGAGGCACAGAGCAAGTGGTGGAGGGGCTGGGCACGTGGGTCAGTGGTAGAGCACATTCCTGGCCTGTGTGAAGCCCTGGGTWTGATCCCCAGCACTGCAAAAAGAAAAAATAAAAYAAATTTTTAAAAAGGAGAATGGAGAGCTAGAAAGTGGCCTTGTTTGGCTCACATGGAAATTGAATTCAAGAGAAAAAGGGTGATTTGCTCCAGAATGTGGTAAAGATGGAACATAAATCTACATTTCTGTCTGATGCTGTTTTTCCTGTACTACTCTGTTCTTCATTTCCTTGTAATTCTTGATTTCTTGGCACCTGGAGTGGCGAAGGACTGCCTGCTACAGTCATTGGGAATCCCAGGCCCAGCCCACTTCTCCCAGTTCCATACTCCAYTCCCCTTTCCTCCTGTACCTCTGTGCTTTATAAGCTCTTCTCAGGCAAGAGCCTCTCCTGTCCTTTCTTTTGCCTCTTAGAGTGATGCCACGTTCCTGGCACGTGCTTAGCAAGCTCTTAATCATGAACCTGAGGTCAAGTTCCCCATCTCAATCTAGAGAACTAAAGTGGGTACTTGAAAAAGATGAGGAGAGCCGTGAAGACCTCGAGAAATATAATTTGCTGAAGCTCTTTGATCCCTTTGGATGGGGGATGGGGATTCAGAATGAAACCTTTCCCAGTTATCATTTCTTGCCATCAAAGCCCTAAATTCCTTCCCTTCATACACTAGTTCTCAGTCTAAAAGGCACTTTGTCAGAGATTCTAATGGAATTTCCAAGTCATGAAAGACAAGGGTACTCCATTACAGATGAGAAAACCTTGGCCCAGAGCCCTGTAAGCGACTTGCCTAAGGTCACATGGCTGCCCAGAGGGAGATCCAGGACTTTGATGTCAAGCTTACCGTTCCTCCCCCTGCACCACACTGGATCTCATAACACTCCTGGACACTGTCCTTGCATGCCAAATGACCAGAATCACTTAAGGGTAGATGGAATCTTAAAAGCCCAAGGAGAAATGCTGGTGTTTTCTCGGTACCTGAAAGCAGTGTAATGCTCTCATCTCTTTCCCACTGGCAGGACCCAGCCGAGCGCCTCATTTACCTGTATTGGACCCGCATCCACAAGAGGCCACAGTCCTAATACTGAACTTGGCCAGGTGTCCACAGACACAAGGGGACTTATTTCCTCTCAACTCCAGCAACAGTTGTCTTAATTCAGTGAAACACAGATCATATTTTTTTTTTCCTGGAAACCATATTCTTCTGCTTAAACACAGAAAGCAGATGCTTCTTAATGACTTTTCCAGAGTGTATAATCCATAATTTCCATGTTCGTTTAGATAGAGATGTAGTCCTCGTGTTGTCAGTGAGGCTGTTCTGTTGAATTAGTGAATTGGGTTGACAGGAAAGTACACCGTTTTGGTAGCTTATGAGGTTTGTGCGTTTTCTCATATTTCCCCATCCCCTAATATAATTTTATTGTTTTAATATGAGTCAGAGACCATTTCAGAGTCAGAAGTGCAGTTCTCTCACCATCTGTTAATGGAGATCCCRGTTTTAAGTATTTGGTAGAAGAAATGGTTTATGGAATAGATGAGCCTTGATTTTTGACAACATTTTCTCAGAGAAACTTAATCTTTGGCAGTAGACTTCTAGAGGCTGAGATAAATTCAGAACACAGAATCTCTATATTTAAAGATGACCTCACMAAAGTATGACCCGGTCTCAACTGGGTCTTCCATCTTAGCTCTGATTCCACACGGTTCTTAAAAATTCCCTCTCCTGCTCACCTCAGGGCAACTCAGAGAAGAGGATACARGAGAACCACACACAGGACATTCACATGGCACCCCGCATTCACAGAACCTGACACAACYGCAATATTTCATGTTAAACATGGGTGCAGGGTGAAGTTCCCAACCACCAGCTCTCTTTCACACGTTCAGTAATCCCAGCAATCTTATTTGTAATTCTTGCCTTTCTGACTTAGACATTCCCCATGTTAAGTTATGGRAAAAAAAGAAAAAAGTATTCTATTATAGWGCATTATGTGTCCCAGTAAATCACCTTTTCTACCACTGTAACCAGCTGGCAGAGACCATCCAGTCAGAGAGTCTGTGCACTGTTACCCACCGTCTCAGGAAAAGAGTGCTGTGTGTCAGGCCTCTGGCACACACAGTCAGCACCTGAGGACAGGAGGGAGGCTCCTTTTAGGAAGGAGCAGCAAAGAGGTAGTTTACCAGCAAGGAGAATAAAACTCAGTTGRCTCTGTTGATAGAAGCCCAGGGACATTGCTATTTGCTATTTYTTTTTTTAATATAGCAACTGCTTCATCAGAAACATAATTGTCTTTGTGGTCAGAGTAACTAGGTAATGTTGATTGCCTGGGCAATTTTGTTAACATGTCACAGCAAAGAGGCAAATGGGCTAAATTGTTAGGAAGTTGAAATGGGGTTTTCAATCAAGCCTACCTTTGCGTGAAGCATTGCAGTTCCAGCTCATAATATGGAAGTGTTGTCACTGACCTAAATCCACAAAAGGATAAGCAACCAAGACAGACAGAACCAAGCAAGCCTACTCTCACAGAGGCTGGAATTGAGTCTTAGCACTTGGTGGGGGCCGGGCTGAGCCATGTGCAAAGGGTGACCGCGACCTCATATGAGCCTCTGTGTACCTGCGTGCAGCTGGGGTACTGCCTGGCTGGTCATTCCTACTGGGGCATKATCCCCTAATTATAATGGAAGGTAACAGGCCTCCAGAGAGGCCAGCCCTCTCCCTCTAATCTGGTCTGGATTAAGGTAAAGTTGCACTAGGGCAGAAAGAGCAGTTGAGGACAGTAGATTTATGTCAAATGAAAAGGTGAATAGCTTCAAATAGTCATCTAATTAGGATAGGTCTCTGCCACCCCCATCAGTAAGCTTCAGGGAATTTGATTGGGACTAGATCTGACTATTGTAACATCACCTTTACTAAAAAGGAAGTAGTTTCCCATCTAAGTATCAAGGGCATCCACCCAAAATTCCAGAGATTAATACTTTGTAGTGATGGTAAGATCTCTACCCGAGATATGTTCCTTGACATGACTGGGTGGTGATCAACTCTCCTGCTCAGATGTCTTTGTCACTTTTTGAGAATATGGTAGAGACATGAAATATGCTTCTTTTATTTTTTTTAAAGACTTAACTTCCCAATTTCAAAATAACTGTAGGCATATCATCAAAATAAATAATTAAACTCCAACATTACAAAATGCATAGTACACAAAGTAAAAGTTCTCCATGCTAGGACCCTCACTGGAAAGGACAGTTTGGAGTGTAGGCCCACATACTTAACTGCATTTTTTTTTATTAGTTAAGACCCTGATGGGCTGGGGATGTGGCTCAAGAGGTAACGTGCTTGCCTGGCATGCGTGGGGCGCTGGATTCGATCCTCAGCACCACATAAAAATAAAATAAAGATGTTGTGCCCACTGAAAATTGAAAAATAAATATTAAAAAAAATTCTCGCTCTCTCTCTCTGTCTCTCTCTCTCTCCCTCTCCCCCCCCCCCCCCCCCCCCCCCCCCCCCCCCCCCCCCCCCCCCCCCCCCCCCCCCACAAAAAAAAAAGACCCTGAGTTGCCAAGGACAGAAATGTGCCCAAATAGCTTAAACAGAAAGGGATCTCCCTGGAAAGAGATCAGGTCTTCTATGCACAAGCTGCATACCTGAGCAGAAGGCAGCGGGTAGAGGCTTACAATACACCCAAACAGCAGCAGCACCAGGCTCCTCCACATCCAGCCTGTGTGGCCCCCGCACATGACTGAGTTCTCTTCACTGCAAGCAGCCTTTTCCAGGGGACAGAACCAGCACAACGCCTTCATTTATACATGAGGCTGACAGGTTTCATGGGCAACAAGTAAGAGAAATCCCAAATGGAATGATAATGGCCAAATTACATTGTATGCATGCGTGAATATATACCAATGAATGCCACCATTGTGTACAATTGTAAGGCAGTGATTTAAAAAAAAAAAAAAAAACATGGGGGATAACAGTGGCCATAGCAGAGTGAGGTTATAGCCATTCCCACAGGTGTCGTGGGTGAAGAAGGAAAGGAGAGAATCTCAACAGAAGAGCTTGTGGACCAAATCTGGTATCGTTAAAAATATACTGTCCATAAAAACATGACAACATCTAATTTTTAACCTCACAGGGATCCTATTGTGCACTGTCTTGAAACATGCTTCCCCCTAAGCGTTATATTCTCAGACATTTTGGCATATGCATCATGCTCCTCAGTAGTGCATGGTTTTCCATCGGATGACATACCATTGTGTACTTCAACAGATTCCTCTTGTGGGATGTTTGTATCCAGTTTTCCACTATTGCAGACATTGCTGCAGCCACTGTCCTTGTCCTTATGCTTGTCCCTCTTGTGCAGTTTCTGTGGGACCAGTTCTAAGATCAATCAGTGGACTCAGAAATGATTAATGTTTTCAATGTCAAATAGCCCTCCCTACATAATCCAGTTATTCTTCTACAGCCAGCGTATGGGCCTCGCCCTCCACAYCTTTTCGAACACTGCATGGTGTGGCGTACATGTTCTCAGTTTGGCCGTCAGGTGTGTATGGTGTCTATCTTGGTTTATTATCCTTGACCAAATCAGGAACGGGTTAGTATTTGTTTAGAGATGCCTTGTTTCCAACGCCATTATAATGGCACCTTTAAAAATGAATACGCAGAATTTATCTCCTAAACGTCTCTGCTTCCTATTTTGACTTCCACCGTCAACTAAGTTTTGCAGTAGCTTTCTGGACCCAGGCAGTTTCTGAAGACTTTATCTGACTGCATATTCTTTCATACCCATATTTTGCAAGACAATTTATTAAGTACTTTACCCTCATTTAACCTCA